GCCAGAATGTTGAGTGATTAATTATTTTTAGCCTATGGTTATATTTTACCGGTTAAGTTTGTTATAACTACATACCGCCCTAAGGTGTTTAGCTACTCATCGATGTTGAACCAGACAGAGACAGAAAATTTAATAATAACGTACTCATGGCAGAAAAATAAATAAACATTATAATTAAATTAAATTGCAATATAATGAAAAACCTGGTTAACAAATATTCGAGCAGACTCCTTCTTCCACAGACCGGAAAGCTTGGAGTTGGCGGAAATTGAAAATAAACGAATGTCGAAGGTTTAGAAACAAATAAATATATAACAATTTCCTGATGTTGGAAATTGTTATATGACGGGTTTGGATACAATAAAAAATGAAACAGAAAACTAAAAATAATGCAGGAATAGAAAGGCTGGTTCGTAATACAGTTCGGCAGAGCTTCCGCAGAAATTAGAAAAAAATGCTCTGTGTCCTTTGTTCATAGAACTTGTACTATTTATATAATCCTTAATGGGCTGGATTTTTGGACCTTTGTTGCATGGGCCTTGCTGAATTTGTGGAAGGAATGCAGGAACGTGGCAACAAAATAGGAGAAGTGGTTTTCACGTAATGCCTTGACGTAGTCTGAGTCAAAAACCTAATTTTACCCTTGTCACGGTCGTGACAAGGTCTTCACGTTCGTTACTTGTGGTTTTTAAGTGTCACGGTCGTGACCACTCTCTTACGGTCGTGATGGCTCAAATTGGGGTGTCACGGTCGTGACACCCTTGTGACGACCGTGGCTGCAACAAATTATGCAGTCTTTTGCAGGCTTCTTCATTTCTTCATCTCTTAATGGTTTCTTTTGTTCCTTTTGCTCTTAATTCATGATTTAGCTCCATATAATGATGTACCTGCAAAATGGTAAGAAAAACTCGAGAAATCGAGTGTTAAAACGGTGAATATGCGATAAAACGTTAATGAAACCTAGCAATATAATCGATGCGTTTTCTTGTTATCAGTAACAACCAAGCATTCATTCAAAGAAGTTTGGAATCAAATCAAATGGTTACAACCAAAGGTAATTTTAAACTTGGATGTTACAACATCTAAATAATCATGAAAAAAGGTTCTCACAAGGCTAAACATCATAGATGACAATTTGAAGTACAAGCAATCATTCATAAGTCAAAACATTACTTATCATGGAAAATTTCAAAACTCAAGATCAACATGCATAACTCATGACAATGTTTAAAGCACGAACACAAGCCAAATAAAGTAGAGGTAACAACCAGACATTCTTGAACAAGAATGAGACATGTATGACAACAACATGTGGGTAGAGATATAAATATTCAAGGGATAACATGTGAACATACAAATCAAGATTATATCAGATAAGTCAAGTGGAAATAAAACTTAAAAACATCATGGATGTGAGATGAACATGTTTAAACGAGTAGGTAACAACCAACATGTAAATTGGGGTTCAATCGTGGCTTTGAGGAAGGAGATAACATCACAAGGTTCTCTCATACAAACATGTATCCTAAGCTTACAATCTAAGGCACAACAGAATTTAAGAAATATTCCAACATAATATGACAAGCATAAACCACATGCATACATCAATATACAAACATGGAGGAAGATTACATGTTGGGAGCAAGGTAACAACCAAAGCTTCAATGTCATCAACAAGAGAAGATTTCAACACACATTTACATGTAAACAACATTTAAACAAGCATGAAAATCAAGGTGAATCAAATAGGTACAATATTATAACATCATACAAGGTTTGCACAAGATGCTGTGGGGTTTAACCCAAACAAACATTCAAGGAAACCATAGGGAAGGATCTAAGAAAACAACAAGGTTCTTAAGAGAAACCCTAAAAAGTATCAAACTTTGAATACACACAAAGGTAAGAAAAATAAATCTTTTGGACATTTCTTGACATAGATGAAAAATAAACATCATCATGAACACAATGCAAAAAGAGTGGGGTCAAAATAATAAAAAACAAGGAAGTTATGATCAAATAAAATTGCTTTAAAAACCATAAAAACAAGTAATTAAAAAAATGGTAGTGCATACCATATGGTTTGAACCCATGCCAAGGAGGTTCCAACCCAAAACCAAGACCAACTGAGTTGTGCGTGCGTTATGAATAAGGAAAGCATGCATGTAATAATATAGCAAGTACAAGAAAGAAGTCAAAAAAATAACAAAATACCAAAAGGGTTGATCAACAGGATCGAACTCAGGCAAGGCAAGGCGAATAAGAAAAGCCAAGGTAAGGTTCTACCACTGAGGTAGCTATCACATCCAGTTAATATACGCTTCTAATTGTTTTTATTTTAAAACAACTTCACATGGCTAAATCAGCACCCAGTCAGCGCCATGTCACGCTGACTGGATTCCCACTCAGATTCATCTCCTTCCTCGCTCTCTCATTTTCTTTCTTTCTCGTGCCCTAGAAAAAACACACCATGGTCAGACCTTCCATCTCATGTATCTCTCTCATTTTTCCACCAAATCAAAAGATGTAAAAAATGAAATAATAGTATTTTTCTCAAGGAACAATAACATAACATTGGTTTGACAACACTCCACGTATAAAGCACAATACCCTCCACAACAGTGCAACACCAAAGACTTCAACATGTTACAACATGAAGTATTTAAACCAAACAAGGCAAGCATTCATTCAGAATCACAAAATACCAAACATAATACATTTTTCTATTCAAATAGCATCAAATCAGTGCATGAATATGAGAGTTTCGAAGGTCATAATTTCTTACCTCTTGGAGAAAGTCCAAGGCTTCTTTTCAGCTACTGCAGATACAAGATAACAATCTCCGGGCTTCCTTAAGTCCTTTAGAACTTGTTAGAATGGTCGGATCAGTTGGAAATAAACTTGAGCATAGGTCACGATCCTTCTTTCAACAATGGAGGTTGAAGATGGCATGGTGTGTTTGGTGTGTTACAGAGCCACTTCAAAGGATTTAATGAATTTTATGGATGGTTTAGAGATGGTTTATGGTGTTTATTTGGAAAATGCACGAGTAAAGTGTGTTTGGCCAGAGGTTTTGCAAAGCTGAGGTGTTTTTGCAAGAACTCTTAGCTACGAGAATGCAAGAGTGTCTTGTGAGGTTTCTGGGATTTTTTGATGATGTTTTGCAATGAGAAGTGACATTATATTTATAGAGGAAGTGGGAAGTTTGAGAAGTTTTCAGAATCCACCTTTTTGCAAACCATCCACTTGCACTTTCAAAAAGCTCATGATGATGATATTTGCTTGGTTCAAAGGATGAAGTACAAAGCAGCTGAGCTTAGAGCATGCCTCTGAAGATTAGCTTGTACTTACGAGGACTGAGGGAGTCGCTCAATGCAGAGTTTTTAGAAGAGTCATGCTTTACCAAAATGGCAATGAACATTTTATGCCATAAGTGGAATAATCTCTTGGTCTAAGCCTTAAAGCTTTGTGTAATCCTTTGTAGTTTCATGTGACACTCTAATTAAGAAGGATATTTCAAGTAAACACTCTAAAACATCAAGATTTGCAGCAAAAACTTGGTCTTGCATCATGTCATGCCAAGTTGAAACCTTGGAATTCAAGTTTATGGACCTCAATTTCAAGTCTTCGAAACTCTTAGCTCACTTAATGGATTTGGGAGTTCTTGTAATTTTTAGAAAGCCCCAAATGTGCTCTATAACTTTCATGTTTTGGGTTTTTCTTGATTCCCAAAGGATTTTGATGAAAACTAGTCTTGAAGTGGTTTGAAAATTGAAGGAACAAACTTGCCTTGAAAAATTCTAAGTGTCCTAAGATTCTTTCAAAGTTTGAAGCCTTATAACTCAAAACCTAGGCATTTTTTTTGGATATAGACTTAGAGAGACAAAGTTGTAACATTTTGTGAGATCTTTAATTTGATACTTGGAACTCAAGAAATGCACGCGTGGTTTGAAAGTTGTGGCTTCTAAAAATGGACCTCCAAATTAGGCTTTTTTCCATACTTAGAAAATTTTCTAATACCCAAGTTTGCCCCTTTTGCAAGAAACCTCAAAAATCTTAATTTTCCATGATCAAACTCAACAATCAAGCATGCCTTGATGGAAATTAACTTGAGAGCTTCCATTTGGACCAAGAAATCTAAAAGTCAAAGTGTTGACTTTTGACAGATGAAACTTGTATCAGATGAATTCAACTGCGTGATCTTCAATGAACTTTCATCTTTGAACTTTTCAAATATCATGACTAGGCTCCAAGGATGTATATGAACATGTTGAATCATGTCCCAAGACTTGAGATCATGCTTGGATCAAAATCAGGGCACAATTGACTTTTCCTTGATGAAACCCTAATTTAGGGTTAACTAAAGTTAGACTTCAATGATCTTGCAATTAGCACTTGATTCTTGTTGAATATAAGCGTCTTGAGTGTATGAAAACTTGATTTGATGATGATCAATCCAAAACATTGACTGATCAAGCAATAATCATCTTGATTCCAAAGGTGCAAAACCTTAATTCATATGGAACTCACACAAGAGCAAACTTGAAACAAAGTTAGGGTTAGCATATATACTTGATAAGAGTCAAAATTTGGGGTATGACAACAATCGATCTCACGAAAGCCAATGAATGCCTTTCTCCAATCTCGCTTATGACCTTGAAGGTTCAATGTTAATCTCCAACAATTATTTACTTTTTACAAATGCTAAATCAAGTAAGAGTGTTTCCGAAACACACCATTTTTAAATTTCTAACATTTTCCAGCACATATCAATTACTTTTTTATTATAAACAAATATATATTTTTAAAGAAAAACAAATTTGAGACACAATGTAGGCTCCTCGCATTGAAAGATGTTAGTTAGCCTTTGACTATTTAATATCCGAACGTTACATTACATTTAATCTATTTAAATAAACCTCCGCGCTTCACTTCAATGCAAACTCACTTTTCAAAACTAGCCGTTATTCAACCTTCTCTTCCACTCTCAAACACTCTCTATGGCGACCTCAATCGACACACCTCTTCCTCTTCCTCACATGAAACAGGTTTCATCTCAAACTTCGCTCTTTGTCATGTCGTGTTTCTCAACTGTTGTCGTTAACTAATTAACGTTGTTTTCGTGTTTCAATAACAGGATGATGATACAAACGTTGTCAATTCTTCTTCTCCGCAATTTAGTCCATCTTCCGATAAGCGATTCTGGAGCACTCTTCGTAGTAGAATGGATTCACTTCTCGATAATCCCCATCACATCAATTTGGTAATTAATTTGTTACTTTCCCTTCACAATTTCGATAACATGAACCTAAAATCAAATAATTAGGTTATTGAATTTTATTTTTTTATTTCGTTACAGAATGAACGAGGAAACAACAGATTGAAGGAAGATTCTTTGTTACTGATAAGAGGGTTTGATTCGGTTTCTCATACACTCTCTCTTTTGTCTAGTAATTTGGATAATGCATTACAGGTATAACTAATAACTTTCACTATTATTAATTAATGTTATTTATATGATATGAATATGATCCAGTTAATTAATTAATTAATATTTTCTGTTATTATTAATTAAGTTTTTATTTGTTTTTTACCAGAGTACCAGAGAATTGGGAAAACCACCAACGTTAACTGATATGTTCCAAAGCAAAATTGTTGAGTCCGAAAAGAAAGAAGAGGATTCAGAAGAGAAAGAGAAAGAGGAGTTGAAGAAAGGAGTGAAAAGGAAAATTGATGAATTCTATGAAGAAAATGTTACAGAGTCACAAACAGAAAATGGACAGAAAATGCATGATAAGCATATCAAGAAAGCAAAAAATGTTGGTTTTTTTAACTTTCTATTTTTATTTTTTTTTATGGATCAGTACTAGTTAGTTAGTGTGGTTTTACAGAAGTTTTTGATAATTTGTTACTTATTTAGTTGTTGAATATTATTTATAGCTTGCAGTTTCAATGGCTAGCAAGGCAAGCTCAGTTGCAAGGGAATTGAAGTGTCTTAAGTCAGATTTATGTTTTATGCAAGAGAGATGTGGTTTGCTTGAAGAAGAGAACCGAAGGCTGCGTGATGGATTTGCGAAAGGAGTTAGGCCTGAGGAAGATGATCTGGTAAGGAATCAATTTATTGGTGAAATTGGTGTGTGCTAGTTGTTATGTATGTGGTTGAGTTATGAAAGTAATGTTGTGTGTGTGAGGATGGTGTGTATAGGTGAGGCTTCAGCTGGAAGCACTTCTTGGTGAGAAGGCAAGACTGGCAAATGAGAATGCAAATCTGATGAGAGAAAACCAATGCCTTCACCAGCTGGTGGAGTATCATCAGCATACATCGGAAGATCTCTCTGAGTCATATGAGCAAGTCATTCAAGGAATGTGCTTGGATTTCTCGTCTCCTCCACGAACAATTGATGAAGAAGAAGAAGATGATGATGTTGAAGACAGTGTGTAGTAAACCATGTCTACAAGTTCTCTCTGCTTAACTTGATGAACCTTTAAACCTGAATTGTAAGCATCATCATGATTTCCCCTGTAATGATGATGATCCAAATATTCTTTAGCAGAAAATATTGATCTGCGTTATCTTCCTAATATGGAGTTGTACCACCTTACAATTTAGTATCGGAATTCCAAAATAACTAACTCAATGGAGTTGTACCACCTTACAATTTTGGAAGTTAACTGATCTTGGTGTTTCTCCACTTTTTCACCTATTATATATGTATCATTTGCGTATTGCAAGTGCGAGAAGTTTTTTTCTTGTTTCTCAAAACCCCCCCATAGCTAGAGAACTCACTTGATTCGATTGATCTTTTCATGAGAATATTGAATCCTTATGCAACAATTAGGAAGAGGAACGAGGACAATGAATCCCCTTATCTAAGACTTCTTCCCATTTTGAACTCATTCATGGAGTTGTCATGCACCAACCCAGAATTAGTTGTTGTCTTCAAACATTTTGAAATCCATCTCCTCTAGTTTTCTTAAAACCCTATCTTAGTCATCGCGCAATCTAAAAAATTATAATCCGCTGTGTTATAAGCTCTTTCAAAGTCTATCTTAAACATAAGCACTCTCTTTTTCTTATGCTTGGCTTCATCTATGATTTCATTTGCTATTAGGATACTGATCGTACCTGACCAGAAGGGAATCAATGACCTGCCACGTTGATCTGCTAGCTGCTCAGTATGGAAGAGGAGGGGGTGTACCTAAAACACACTCCGATTCCAAAGTAAGTGACGAGCAGAATATAAACAAGTACAGAAAGAGAGAGTAAGAGAGTTAAGTTACCTGACCCTCTAGTGAATAGGGTATTTATAGTGAGCCCCCAGCGCAGGGCCAACGGTTTTCTAGCACTGCGTTGGGCTGCCAAGCCCAATGTTAGTAACTGCTAGGGCTGACGTGGCGTCGTGAAGACCAGCACGTGGTCTTCGCCCTAGGGTAACTGTTTCGCGCTATCCAGGAGGAGGAAGACCGAATCTCTAGGACGTGGGTAGTTACTTCATAACGTGTCCCTGCATGAGGGACACGTGGGGGGAGGCTCGAGGAGCTCCCCGGGCAGGCTGGATTCTGCCCAACGACGGGGGAGGAAGGGTCCTGCCCGACAGCTGTTGGCCTATGCCCGACGGGGGAAAGGTTTTGCTCGGAGGGACTTCTGCCCGTCAGCGTGGTACTCTTGGGCCTAACCTCATTGGGGTTTGGGTCTGCTTTGTTGTGGGCTAAGCGTCGGCCCAGTCCAGAACAGTAGCACACCAAGTCGTTGTTCGCGGTCAGGCGAGCTATGGCTTGAGCAGGGAAGGGTGTACTCTCTGGTCTCCTCGAGGGTTAAGATTGCCCCAGCTCATCCTATGGGTTGTTAGGAGACCACGCCCTTTCACTTGAACTGCGGTGGAAGGGTGGATTTGATTTGGCTGTCAAATTCACCAAGTTTCTCTGTTTTTCAGGTATAAAATGGTTGGTCATGCCGAGGAAGAGGTGGAGTGGTATCTATCCGAGGACGTGGAGGGCCGCGAGGAGGAGGTCGATCTGGATCCTCCGGAGAGACCTTTATAGGAGTGGTTCGGGGAAGAACCCTTAAATTATATGTAGAGGTTCATCCTCGACGACTCTGATGTGTTTGCGGTGATAGAAGACAGAGTGGCGGGGAGCCCCCGTCAGTTTCGTATCTGCCGCCCCCGGGAGACCGACCGCATATGCTCCCGATATCTTGGCGGTCAGTTCCAGATGTACGAGTTCGCCTTTAAGGAGGTGGTAATGTGAATTCCCTTCACTGGTTTCCAACAAGGTGTGTTCGATCATCTCATGTTGGCGCCATCCCAACTTCACCCGAATTCTCTGGCCTTCATCCGAGCATTCGAGATCGTCTGCAACTACTTGAAGCTCGGGGCCACCATTCCGCTATTTTTCTGCGTCTTCCACCTATAGGGCCAGACGACGGCTGGTCGACATAGCTGGGTTTCGCTGAAGCAGGCGACCAAACTCTTTCGGCCGTACACTGATTCCGTTCGAGGTTTTAAAGATCGTTGGTTTGTGGTCATGTCGGACACAGACGAAGCGTATGAGGCCATATTTCAAAAGGAAGTTGTGGTCGTGGATAGGCGTACCGAGGACAACTATGAGTCTTACTTCCCCTTAGACTAGGGGGACCTGCATTTCCGTTCGGGTACTGGCAGCTTCATCTTCAGGCCTGATCAACTGGGCAAGGAGGACAGCTTGACCTTCCGAAGGTTGGTGAACTTCGTCGGTCGTCTTCCTCCTCGAAAGTGTGTGTCCCCCGACGGGGAGTATATCCGCGGCGAAGACGGGAAGATACTGACAGAGGCCCAGTATATTAACGTAAAGGCTCTGCTCGAATGCAGGACGGAGGCTGAGGCTCATCGGCTCCTAGGTAGTTTGGGTGCCTCCGGGCTAATCTTGTCACTTGTCTAGTTTTGGCTTCTAACTGTTTTTCTTGTGTTCATCTTGCAGGTTCAATGGGTTCCATGGAGGAAAGAGTGACGATGCTGATGAATAGGGGTAGTCATCGTGCTCCAGCTCGGGCCCCTGCTGCGCAAATGGAGCTGGTCGTCGCTTCTTCAGGAACGACCTCATCTTCGCGGGGAACTAGGTCCCCGGCACAACCCCCGGTCCCCAAACGGGGACAGGAGGACGAGGCGCCTCGGATTGATCCTCACTGACGGTTCCCTGGATCGCGGGTTCGTCTTGCCCCCTTACTGTCTCCGGCCAAATTTCTTTTCGGGGAGGAACGATCCTGGGGTGGCTCCGAAAGAGGCGAAGAGCATATTGGCTGTGGGCAAGGAGGCTCGGAGGAAGATGATGTCCGCGAATTTGGCGGCGATGTTGAGGGTCTTTGAGACGGCCTATGTGCTGAATGAGGTAGGGTGCTCCTCGGAGGACCTAGCTGCTGTCAAGAGCGACCTCGCGGTGTCCGAGGAGTTCAAGCCCAAGCTGGCGGCCGACCAGAGGGAATATCAGAGGCAGGACATGCTCCACCAGGAACGTATTGGGGAGCTGGAGGAAGCCCTGGAGGAAAGGGATGAAGAGCTGAAGGGGGTCAAAGGTCGCGTCGCTGAGCTAGAGGATCTGGTCGCCCCTGCCGAGGAGTCCGAAGAGGAGCGGTTGGTCTCGTCTAGGAGATGGCTAGTGGCCAAGGTTTGTCAGCTCGAGGAGGATTGTCTGGGAACTGTCGAAGTGAGCTTTAAGCATGTTTTCGACCAACTCAAGCTCGTCAACCCTGAGCTGACGACTGATGGGATTGGTCCCTTTCATCAGATCCAAGATGGTCGGATCGTGGCGCCCGGAGTCTCGGACGAATAAGAAGACGACTAGGTTGTCCGCGAGGAGGAGGAACCCGTAGAGTAGGGATGGTGGCATGCGTGCCTCTTTATTTTTCATTCGGCCTGCGTGCCTAGTATTTTTTTGGCCTGCGCACCATGTTTCATTTTGACTTCTGGGCTTTTGCCCGTTTATGGAATTTCTTGTTTTCCTTTGTTTGTGTGTGTGTGCTCGATTATTTATACATGATTCATATTTTTGTTCGCATTGTATGCTTGTTTGTACATTTGTTATGCTTAATGTATATTTTTGCTAAGTTGGGAGTGGTAGCTCGACTTCCGTTGTGCCCGGTAGTTTAGGGAACTGGCTGATTGACCGGGGTGGTTACCTGGTCGGTTACGGGGGTGGACCACGATTGTGGACCAGTCCCCGCGGCGTGAATGTCCCATCGTGAGTTGGGTGTTCTGTCGGTCTTGATACTGCAGCGGCGACTCTCGGTCGAGTAGTCGCTGTCGAGCAGAGTGTTCTGCCCGCACACACAAAGGGCAAGCGCTTGTTATTTTGTTACTTTCGGAGAGACGCGGTCATACCACGTCGTGATCTTATGGTCGCGATGAGGGTTCTCGCCTGCAGTGTTTAACTGTAGTATTTTTTTAGCTTTTTCAGTGTTCCATGGTCGAGCTATCTAATTCCCGTGTAGGTTTTCGAGGTAGTATGCCCCGTGCTCCGTCTTGTCCCGAACACAATATGAGCCTTCCCAATTTGCGGCGAGTTTGCCCTCGTATGAGTCCTTTTGGTTTCTTCGTAGGACCAGGTCGCGCGACTTAGAACTCGCGCTTTAGGACTTTGCTATCGTAGCGAAGGGCGACCTTTTGTTTTAGCGTAGCTTCGCAGAGAGCTGCTCCTGATCGGATCTCATCGACTAGGTCGAGCTCTTCCTGGAGAGCCTCGTCGTTGGTTTCCTCCTCAAGGGGAGCTTCGTTCCTTCTGGACGGCTTTCTTATCTCCATCGGGATCACCGCCTCGGTTCCGTATGTAAGATGGAATGGGGTTTCTCCGGTGGTCGAATGAGGCGTTGTTCAGTATGCCCAGAGCATGCTATGGAGCTCCTCGACCCATCCTTTCTTGGTGTCGCCGAGTCTTTGCTTCAGTCCCCGGAGAATTACTCTGTTCACGGCCTCGGCTTGGTCGTTCGTTTGTGGATGTTCGACCAAAGTGAAATGGTGTTTGGTCCCGAGTTTGGTGACAAAGTCCCGGAAGTTTTTGTCCGTGAATTGTGTCCCGTTGTCGGTGACTATGGCGAGCAGGACGCCGAACCTGGCGAGGATGTTCCTCTTGTAGAAATGGAATATGTTGTGCACTGTGATCTTGGCGAGGGCTTCGGCCTCGATCCATTTGGTGAAGTAGTCGACGCCCATTATCAGATACTTGTTCTAATAGAAGCCCAGGGTGAACGGGTCGAGGATATCCATCCCCCACCAGGCGAATGACCAAGGGGACAAAAGGGACTTAAGCTCGCTCGGAGGGGAGAGGTGCATATCCCCGTGGCGCTGGCACCTGTCGCACTTCCTGACGTGTTCTTTCGTGTCCTCCTGCATCGTCGGTCATTAGCATTCATCCCGTAAGGATTTCCTCGCCAAGGACCATCGTCTGAGGTGTTGCGCACTGATGCCTTTG